GATCCAGTCTCATTTTGCAGCTACCAAAGCTGGCGGCTCAGGAACTACCCTGATATCACAACAGCAGTAACTCCCAACCGCCAAACTCAGGATCCCCCTCTAAACAGTGCTAGGGACCGTACATCCGTCGTTGCTGGGCNCTCTGGGGCATACCCCCACGGCGTGCGGCCACTCCGCCACCCTCGCCGTGCTCTCTGCTGCCCCGGTGTCCAAGCCGGGGCGTCAGGATCCAGTCTCATTTTGCAGCTACCAAAGCTGGCGGCTCAGGAACTACCCTGATATCACAACAGCAGTAACTCCCAACCGCCAAACTCAGGATCCCCCTCTAAACAGTGCTAGGGACCGTACATCCGTCGTTGCTGGGCGGTCTTTCGAGGTCTAGATCCACTTGCGGAACCTCGGCCTACCCCAGGGACGGGGGGGGCAGGCCGGGGAGGAGCTAGTTTGGTATTCGTTTGTGTTCGTGTAAGATTGCAAGAGACGGCACGGATCGAGAGGCGGCACCAGGGTGGGCAAGATGGGGTGCAAAAAAAGCGAAAAACGGCAACGTTGTATGTCCGCACCGCGGTCGGAGAGATCGCATCCAACATATCCGACCGGTGCGGTGTCTCCGATCCCAAATCCAAGATTGCGTGCGTGACAATTGGGCCCATGACCACTTTTGAGCTCCTGTACTACCTGGGCGCATGTTTTAGATGCTACATACCTCTGTGTATCCTGTACCGCACCTTCATGCATCTGCTTGCACACCTGATACCGATAACTTTTTGCGTTGGTATGGAGTACCTACCGAAGAGTGCCGGGTGCGCGTATTCAGCACCGTCATATCACCAGGAAGGCCTCTCTGCGTGCATTTATTAGGGCATCACACCGGTCGGAGAGATATGACACCAGGGTGCCTTAAAAAAGCTAGAAACGATTTTTTTGTATTATTTCTGCACACCGGTCGGAGCGATGGCACCGGGGTGCGAAAAAAGCCAAGAGCTTGCAGCCCTTCATGCGGACGTTGATCGAGTGCCATTTTCCTCCATTCGTGCCAGGCGGCGCTTGGAGACAATCGTCCCAAGCTATCGGGGGTGCGCCGTCGCATTCTCGCGGGCGCGGCGCGGTGGCGCGCGAGCAAGGCCTCTTTCAACCTCTGCGCGAAGCGATTCGCCTCTCTTTCGCGAGGGGCGCGGACCCCCGCGCGGACCTTACCGACAGGGCTAGAACGGTGGGCGCCGGGGAAATTGGGAGTATTCCGCGCCCCTTCCCTGGGGGTGTCTCTTCTTCGGGGAGAGTCGTCTCGGCCGAGCCTCGGCGGGCGGCCCCCACGGGGAACCGCAAGCCCGATGCGCGGCGACGGAGGGCACCAGACGCGCAGGGGGCTGGGCGATCTGATGCCTTCCTCGCCTGCCCGAGCGGATGCGGCGGCCTCCGCCTCTCGCGAAAGGTTGCCCGGAACTACTCCCAGGAGCCAGGATGTGCCCGCAGACCGGGTTCGTCGCAAGTACACGGTGAGGAAAGGTGCCCAACATTGTATGACGCTTACGTGTCTCGCCGGCTTGCTCCACCTTTTACATGATATTGGCGCGGCTTTTACCCCCTCCGCTGGGGATTCTGTGTTGGCCTCTTCGAATGTTGCATCTACAGAACATGTATCGCACACGGCAACCCGCAAGGTGGGGGGAACCACCGGTGGGGGGGAACTACCGCACACGAACCCTCGTGCCTGTTCCGCCTTTCGTGAATCCCACGAGCGGACTCGCGTTTGCACCTCCCGTCCTTCTCGCCGAAACCAAATCGTCACGCCCTGTCCCGGATGTTCCTATGGCTCCCTTTGGACGTCGAGGCGACTTGCCAAGGAAATTGGTTCTTGGCTGAGCTGTGCCCCGCCTTTCGCTTCCCCTTCTACACCCCGTGCCGAGGACCGGTCATTGACGACGCAGATGCCTGCGGCATATGCCTCCGCAGACGTCGTGCTTATGCACAGGCGCGGAACACCTTGTTTGCCTGCGGTTGCGTGTTTCATTCCTCATACGTGCGGGCAATGGCGAGAATATCGAGATACCGGATGACACCATCCATTGCTGTTCGAGGCGTACGTTCGGGCGAACGGGGCAGACTGGCGGTGGCTCATCGGCGAGAAAGAACGGCCCATGGTATCCCCATTTCGTGCGGGGGCTCGCCTGAAATGCTTGGGTCCGGCCCTCCCGCTTTTTGCCGGAGGATCGAAGGGACCTCAAGGGTGACAACGTGCATTCGCAATTGGTCCATCTCTGCCAGCCAAGCGGACGTTTCCGCAGGATTCACGTTCCCCACCCTGCCCTTGCCCACGTGCGCGCGTGGAGGAAAGCCACGATGCCGTCCGTTTGAGCCTCAACAAGCTCTTCAACCTGGTTCGTAACCGCGACCCCCGCTTCATTCCGTCACCGTGGAAGTTCTTCAAGCTCCACGTGCTTCTCGTTGGTAAAAGAGCAGCGATTTGGTGTTGTGAAGTTTTCACGTTCTGAAGCGAGTGGTGGTGCAATTATGTTCATACCGTGGGCGGAATGAGTAGGTTTCGTTCCATTCTTCTGCGTAGTTGGACCACCCAAATGCCTTTCCTCTTGGCTATCTGTGTACAAACAAGGGCGGAATGACGCGGGTTCTTACGGGATCAATGCGCCCTTACTCTCGCCCAAACAATCTCGATACCGTTCCCAACTGTCATACTGACCTCCGCACGGACAACTCGGTCTTCAAGTCCCTCGATGTAGCACACTGTGGTCGGCCCACACGTGTCGGCCTCTCGCCCCTGGACACACCTCAACGGGAACTTAGGTGGATATTCTGCACGGCTCACAACAAGGTTCCTTCTCAATCCCGGGAACACGTGAAAAACACGCAATACAACTCTCGTGCTTGTGGCGCCTGGACACATTTCGGGAAAAAAGTCTCGCTGCGGCGCAGACTCGGCGTCATTCCTCAGTGCCTCATTTCAGGGCGTGCACTAACCCTCTAGACTATAGATGTTGACAACAAAAAAGGAAGGTAGCACGGGACTCGGGATGCACGTCTCCATGTTGTGTCCTCATTCACCGGGCTGGTCTGAATACACACAACCAGCCCACATCTTCGAGGCTGCCCAAAGCAGTAGCAGACATCTGCTCGCTCACAAACAATCAAACACTTCGTGTAGTGGAAACCAGGACGTAGGTATCGGTAGACTAATCTCCGTGCATTCTCAATCTCGGACGTCCGAAGAAGAAAACCTTCCCACAAAGCACAGATGGCACCAGGTAACCTTTGCCATGCCCACACCCGCCAGCGTTCCTTTGTACAGCATTGTACAGTGAATAAGCGGGGCCGGCCGGTCGCTCATCGTGGAACCCCCCGAAGAAAGTGTTTTTTGGATGCGAATTCAACGCCACGAGAAGAAATTAAATATACCACTCTTTTGACCTGCCACACATGTGTCCGACAGATCATTCACAAGCTGCAGCCGCATCGTTAGCCTCAAGAGGTTCGCCCGTCACGAGCCGTTGTGTGGTGTGCCTTGCTTCGTCGGTGCTTTCGCAGTTCCAAGGATAGCGAAATGCTGGGATTTCCGCCAAAAAATATTGGCTGTACGACGGCAGCCCCCGAACGAAAATGTAAAGCGTCGAAGGAGAATGTACTCCTACTGACCGAAAGAAGCACTATGCTGCAGACAAAGAATCCGAACAAAGGTTCCATCCTTACGTGCCAATTGCATCTTCCTCTTGTCAAGCTCAAGCATTTCGTCGAACCCAAAAGCATCATGCAATGCATGCATCGACGACGGGAAATGAATCGTTGGCACCTACCGAAGCGCATACGGATTGTTTCCAATGTAAACGACTTTGCGTTTGTCAGCAGCGTCGCATGAACCAATCAAGAGAAGCGAACGAGATGCCGAAGCCTTTGCGGGCACGAGGGACTCAATAATAGATCGAGGAGAGACAAGCAACATGAGGTTATTCCTTCACCCCTGGAAGGCGCGGTACGTCCAATGCACCTGGGGGGACGAGGCTATCTACTGGTTCGACACACATGCCACACCTGCTCTATGTTTGCTGCCCACTGACAACACCCATGGCAGTCTACTGCAAAGACTCGCGGCAGAGGGCGTGATTAGGCGTAAGGACGCATGGGTCAAGACCTTCACAACAAGGGGATCGACGGACATCTATGTCATAAAATTCGAACACCGTTCTGCCTCTCAGCCGTTACCTACGAATTCGTACTCTTTTCAAGGCTATGGCAAGAGTTCAAGGCAACACCAAACAACGTATAACCCAGGAAATCCCCAAGCGCGAAGACCCCCCTCCCTGAAAAACTAAACTAACCCACCGAAAACGTCGACAAAACACAAGCGACGTTGGGCACGAAAGCGAAAAAGATTTCCCCAAAATCGAAACCTGAGCCGACGCAAGGAACTTTGTCATTCAATCATTGACCAACACTTCGCTCGAAGTTTCAGTCTACCCTATCCGACCTTGCCGCCCGAACTCAAGCAGTCCGACCCCCCCCCCCCCCCCCCCNCCCCCCCCAAAAGAGTAATTAATAATAGGGATGTACATGCCTTCAACGTACAACGAGAAGGGTTGGCCGTCCTTCCCGCGAGCATTCATGTCAACAAGCACTTCCCACGTAGACTCCTCAGCATGGCACGGAACGCTGAACAAGCGTACCTCAAATAAAAATGAACGGTCCATCCCAACACCAAGCAACAACAGGATAGAGGCAACCAGGATTCACAACAAAGAGGACAAGAACACACCTGCACACGACAAATTACCAGCTAGACGACGGTGCGTTAAACACGTCGTCAGGCACACGAGGAGGTGGAAACGGTCTTGGGTCTGCCATTCCCAAGGGGTAGGGTGTGAGTGAAGACGAGCAATAAAACGTTTCTCACACCATCCAAGCAAATCTAGCCCATGTAGCACGCTCAGCAAGCCACGAACGACACGGGGGCCCCAGACAACGGAACCGCACCAGTACATCTAACAAAACGAAGAAAAGAGTACAGTTGAAGAGCCCGAAGGGCGGCATATGTCATATTCCTACTACTCAATAGGAACTAAACTGTCAGTGAACAACCCGCAAAAAAGCATATTGATCAAACAAAACCTCGGTCATCAGCAGGCGAAACACCCTGGATATATTAAGAAATACAGAATTATGTCTTTTCACTCGTCAGCACGACAATCTGGTCCATGTTAACTGCAGAATCACACACACAATCCGACGATTAGAAGACGTTTTCGTGTTTTTTGTCCTGGTAAGAGATAGGACGGCAGGCCGATGCGAAATGAAGAACACGCACGTATTCACAACTGTATCGAGGGACTCCGCATACTATAACTCGTTGGGCGTTGGCCTATTTTTTGGCTAGCTGCATAGCGCGGTCATTCCTACTCAAGGAAATACAAACCACATATATGAGCACGCACGAAGCCCTAAGCAACACGAGCTGAAAGAGAGGTGGGTGACCTACATCGAACACTTGGAAATCCACTCCATTTTGATTTTCCTCTCTGCAAGGAGGCCAACATCGCCGTGAAGGAGGACGATGAGTTGCCTTCAAGGAATCCGGAGATGACCTCGTCCCTCAGGCAACAAATTGTCTGCCAATCGGCTGAAGGTTTCAAAGAGCCGTCCCTGTGCATCGGCGAAAAGCTGAGGCGTTCCGTCCCCGTGTGCACATACGCGACCTCTACGATAAGAAGACCAAAAGGATGGCCTCTCTTCGTCAATACCCCCGGGAATTCGTTGGGTTCACAAAGGCAACAAAGCCGGGCCGTGGTGGGCCATACAGATTACGGCTGTTCTTGATGGATGTCTGTTGCTTCAGGGAGTTCCAGGGCATCGTTTGCTTGGCCTTTCGCCTCGAGAAGATCCCTGCGACACATTTTGATTAATTAAGGCAGCAACGGTTTCGGTACATCCATTGAAAAACTAGCGGTAGGCGGGGGTTGGACCGCAAGCGTGGGGACGACAGGTTACACTCAAGTGATGGGTTGAGCCGAAGCAAGATCCGAAAGAAACCCAAACAGGTGACCATGAACGGAGAGGCGCAGTTTCGTCGATATTCGGCCTGTACCAACTCTGGCTTGCCCACTGGCTTCCATGTGCGTGACTCATGTTGAAGGCACCAATTTGGAGTACGTTTTTCCACAAATGATTCCGATGATTGTTTGTTGAGCTGCCTTTGGCGCTGCAGCAAATTCCAACTCAGTCGTTTCGAGAAACACGGAATACATACCACAAGCCACCTATCGTCACGTCATGCGCATGTTTTCGTTCCCCAGAGACATCGTTCGCGATATGCCCAACCTAATTTTCAGCAGCTACTGTTCAGCGCGGGGTATCGTGAGATGCTGAATGGCCCCCGATTCAAAAGCGACACACGAAAAGCTGCCACAGAACTACCCAAACACCAATGGCAGCTTCACGCAGGATTTCCGCTTACCTTACGAGGTCGACCACTTCATCGATGTCCGGCTCGTACCATGTATGGCACTCTTGTGACCATTCGCCCCCGGGATGTCTAGCGTAGATGTGGTGAAGCTTTTGTTCGGTCATGGTTGGTTGCAGAAACGTTGTCCGGTCGGTGTCACATAGAAAAGGCAGTCCGGACATTGGTGGTGAGTCGACACCATTGTAAGTAACAATAGGAGTGATTTATTGTGTAACTGTCGGCAATGGGGGGATCTATTGCGATCATATACGCAGCTTCATTCCCGAAGAAAGCCGACGAAGCAGCATAAAACCTTTCGGATAAGGTAGGCGTCTCTGCACGCCCAGAAATTTCATAGGCGCACGGATACCCTGCCTTCCGGCATACTCAACACCGGAAGCACGCACACCGGCAGCAACAGTTGTTTCAAAAAGTAGTATTCGTGCAGCACGCTCTGCATCAGCGAAGGGATTCGTAAGCCCAACCCGTAACCCATCCCTGTACTCAAATAAAGTTCTCTAGTACACACCATATCCCTAAGGTTAGTGAGCACCTTCAAGGCGAGTCTCAAGAAGCAGGATGGGCACGATAACGGGGCGATTTCCAGCACCGGGGTGTGCAGGGGCGCGACGATCATGTTAGCAAGCCCGGCCCCGTGGGGAGCTATGACCATGGACGCTTTTGCGAATGTCAGGAGCTGGTCTCGGACGGGATCTGTGCCGAAGAACTCCACCACGTCGAAGCTCGGAAAATTGATCTTCAGAGCCTCTTTCACCTAGATCAGCGTTGTACCGTTGGTGTTGTACCGCTCTCGAACAGCAAATAACGCTCAAAGGGTTAGCGTGACGGGCACGACAGGACATGATGAGCCACGTTCAAGGCGCAAGACGACCGAGCGAGAAAAAAAAGGAACACGACTACTTGGCCGATTCGGGTTGAGGAATAGAACAAAAAAAACGGCGGGCGCTACTCTGGGCACCCTGACGACGGGCTGCCCCAATCATCCTTGCATCCTTAACTGCATTTATGAGCCCATACTACTCACTGTCCATCTGTCGTGCAAGGTCGGATGGTCAACGAAAAACCACGCGCAGGAAAACTCAAACGATGCTGCGTATCCGAGAACCTCGTCCATCATGCGGCGCATTCATCCTTCGAGACCACCAGAAGTTCCCTAAGACTTCGCTCGCGCGCCCTCTTCGAATTAGCCTACCACGTACGCGGATCTCTATAAACTTGCTGTTCTTTCAACAACGTTCTTCCACTGTCTACAAAGACCGATATTTCGATGTGGCGTACTAAAGGCACACGATATTCAGCACCGTTCTGAAAGGGATCAGCTATCACGGATGGTGGCCCTCCAACGGCTACCCGAAAGAAATGCAACGACAGTCATAAAGTTGTTGAAAACAAACGTTTCACGGGTACGTTGCACGTACACATACCTCGTCGTTGTTCTTCAGGCCCCGCAATGTGGTGCGCACAACGAGCACAATCACCGGGCGGGCTGGCGCAGGAGGAACGCCGTTCGTGGTCGGGAAAAGACCCTGCGAGGACAGCAAGCAGGGCATTCCGTGGGACATCTGAGCTTCATTGTCAAGAGACCATGTCAACCCCTTCCAAGATTGGGCGACCACACATGCATCGACAAGTTTGAGGAAAAACAAGACACAAAAACAGCAACACATGAAAACGATTCAGCAAGGGAAATTCCCGCCAAAAACACGACGAGCAAGATGCACCTGCCCCCATCCGTCCCCAACACAAGGATTTTCGCCATCCGCCCACCTGCAGTAATCTGTTCCTGAGCATGTTGACCATGTGAGCATCCGGGTCGCCGCACATAGTACTAGTCGGCACAATCGCTAGTTCTGCATGCATCTGGGATGAGACGGGAAATGACACGGTTTGCGGATTTACCGTTGCGGAGAACGGGTATAGGGTTTTACGCGACGGGTAGCTGACTGTGCATGAAGCGTCAATCAGTCGGGCTTACCGGCGGACGGTTGGAAAACACTCAGTGCCAGCGCACGCGCGGGGTGTGCGTGCTTCGTTGACACGCATCGCACTCTACCCTGCCCTAACTAACTGCGCTAACTAGTTGGAAACACGAAAATGCGCCAGTCTCACCGCGAGAACAATAAAAAAAACATTCTTCAAAGTCTGCGTGAGTCTCCCGCTACGGAGGGGCGTAGGAGAATCTGCGCGCAAGGGTACAGGCTCCGGATTCAAGAGTCAGAAGCACATGTACACGAGCTGAAACGAACAACTATTCCTGCGGTACCTCCCTAGTCCCGATGGGGGCAATGTTTGTGCCTAGGTTCGCCGTAAAAATTCATCCACAAAATTGAACCTCAACAAGCAGACTGACGAGCGCAGATTAGTTTCTCTGCCCTATTGCTGAAAGTCTTGACAAGAGCAACGCTCATTGGGTTCATGACATGATCACGATGGTCTGGTGGCCACTGTGAAAGTGTCGGGGGAAAACACGGCTCGATAGAGCAATCATCTACCGGGGTCCCGACCTATACTCGGCGTTTCCCCCCCAACCTTCGGCACGGCAGCCACTACGCAATGCTCATGTCGCCCAGCTCGCGTTATTCACGGAAAATGCCTGATGCATTGGTTACGGTGCACGGTCTTGCCAGTGATACGTGAACCTGTCTGACGGCATGCCAAGTCTCCTACTTGCGACGCGCTGTGATACCAGGAGCTTTTCGTTGGCTGGGGCGTCTGGATGTCGGCAGTCCAGTGAATATTAAGTCCTGCAGTAAACACGACAGCAGCAAGACTCATTACCGAGAATATGCCTACTCACCTGTTTCATGGCTAAGACGACGCGGTCTCTGCTGATTCCCAGAATCTCAAACATTTCCATATGAGTTTCAATCTCATTGGACAAGCCTCCCTTATGCAGTTTGTCGTGCTGGGAGTAATGCATTGCGATCTGCACACAGTTGTTCAAAAGACGCGCGGGGCACGTCAGCATCAGCACGACGTCAATTTCGTGTCCCATTGGCACAATCTTATCGTCTGGACAACGGAATCGACAATGTGTTCGGACAACCCGAACGGCACGGTGAGAAACATCTGCAATACGTGGCGATTGATGCCATGGACCAACGCTAGTCGTTCGTCAGGGTCTCGCCTAACTGTGGGCCTGAGCGTATTAGAAAATGGACATACATATGCCAGCTTAGAACTGCTGCAATAAACGGTCGCAGCAGCGCCTGGACTCGAAGAGCGATATATCCCCAGAAACGGGAATGGGTGTAGAAGTACAGACACGGATTGGGACGGTAACTGAACCGTCAGTGACAAACCACTAGAACCAGAGCGGTGCATATCCTAGTTTGCTCATCAAGGCACGCGTTAAGGAATGACCAAAACGCCCGACCCAGCGCCTTGGGTTTCTTGCGGGCAGCGTGTGTGTTGTGTTGCAACGTGTGGAAAACATGGGCAGAGTGTCTGTAGAGACGTGGGGTAATCAGTCCGCGTTTCCGTGAAGCTGTCCAAAGGTGCTCTGGACAGGTCGAAGTTGTTGGGGAAACTCTTAAGTCGAATGATGGTTAGACCAGTGTTCAGAGCCTACGACCAGCCGAGAACGTATATCTCATCTGTTGTGTATCCATATGCTGTTTGTTCGCCATGTTGCCCAGCAGCCTTGAACATGTATGGGATGCACAAAAAAAACAAAACACGGGAAGGCATGCCGCAGCACTCACCTTGATTTCTGGGTTTTCGAGAAGGATATCCAAGGCCACAGTGATCCGAGGAAGATGTTCCACCGTAAAGTGGTAGTAGTTCGGGTTCCACTCTTGGGTCATCACGAACACCTACCGCAGCCACAGGCGATGAGTGTTGTAAATAACGGGTACCGTCGTCGGACAGCGACAGGCGAGAGGGAAACGCTGATTGGGTCGATGGACGCGTGTAAGTAGGAGAGGACAACGGTCACACACCGCAAGTTCGACGATCACAGGGAAGACAACCGGGAGGGAGACGCGCAAGATGAATGGCTGATTCCTGGGCGACCGGCTCCAAGCTACAAACCGCAATCGGCTACAACCCCTGTCGATGTAACGTGTACCATTAGATGTGGCCCTATTCCCACAACGATACGGTAGCTTGGTCGGACTAAACCCAATGCAGGAGGAAGCGGTAGGCCGCCCGTACGCCTTGATACATTGTTCTTCAACTCCGGCTTCTCCCAAGGCTACTCTTCTGCATCTTGTGCAGCTATCGATGGCCGTAGGCCGGGCACAGAATCACGTGGGTTCGACACGAACTTTGTTTATTCTTCTGACGGCAAACAACTACTGGTACATACCAAAACAGGCACTTAACGTCCCCCTGCACATTCCAATAATACAACGGTGCTTGCCGCCACTGTACTACCGTAAAAGTCGGAGAATTGGCACCGGTCGGAGAGATGGCATCGGGGTGCCATAAAAAACCCGAGAAACAACATTTAGTTCGATTTGCGCACCGGGGTCGGTGAGATCGCACCGGGCGCGATCTCTCCGACCCCCAAATCCAAGATTGAGCTCCTTTTCGGCTGCCGGAATGAGGTACATATGCGTACCTTTTACACGTGGGGACGGTGTCAGCGGAGCGTTACTCCTTTCCGCACAATTGGATGGTCGCGGTTCACGCGGGATGCCGTTGTTTTCATTTTTAGTAGGTATGGAAAAACACACAGCGTACAAGCCGCACTGCCGCCTTACACAACCCGCAACTATTGTAGAAGATGACCGAAACGAAAGCGGGAAACAATTGATCCCGTGTGTACTGGTACCACTTCAGATGGAAACGACATCGTTGTTGGTGTCACGCCATAGCTAAACTCGCATCAAACACAAGACTACTCGCTGCATGGAAAGCTGCTACGTTCCAGCCTACGTTGCCGTTACCGGTGTGCTCTCAACCAACAACAACGGTACCTAAACGTGTGGTTCAATACTGATCAATAGCATTTCATCGAGGATCCCACCGGTCGAGGAGATCGCACCGCGGTGCAACACCTGTGTGTATTTATTTCATCGGGGATCGCACCGATAGGAGAGATCGCACCGGGGTGCCTTGAACATTCTAAACGAAACGAACGAAATGGATTTCCGCACCGGGGCCGGAGAGATGGCACCGGGGTGCGATAAAAAAAACGAGAAGAAAAACATTTGAAAAAGACGATCGCACCCGGTGCCATCTCCCCGACTATTACGGTATGTCGCGGTATTCACCATCGTGCTGGACGAAATCATTACGCTCACATGCTGAGCAAACACGTACGCATTCATCAAGAACAATAACCCACCCACTTCAATCGATACCCCCCCTCCCCCGTTATTTGCCATCGGGATTGGCTTTTCATCCTTGGCAACGACGTTGTAAAACAAGCCGATCACTCGTGAGCTCGGCAACCAGGATACCCATTCTGTTTTTGCCTCTGTTATTTTCCGGTCACCATAATAGTGGTTGAGTAGATTATGTTGTGCGGGGTCGAGAACCCATACTCCACGCAAAGGAGATGATCGCATCACGATGTGTCAAATTGGTCAAGCACCCTCGAGGCAGCTACACAGTGCTTATAACTGTCCCTAGAAGTGAAAGCACCACAAAATAAATTGAGTGATTTGCAGCTGTCATCGTACGCAAGGCAGCAAACACAAGATGCCGCACCCTTAGCAGGATGCAGCGCACCCTTCATGCGCCTCGCCGAATGCCTCACGGCGCTTCGCGCTTGGTGATGTGAGAGCCTCGTCCGGTAAGAACCCGGCGTGCTCCGTTCCGGCTTTGTAGGGATGTGAGGTCAATGGTCTAACGACTAATGCATGCACGACTATGAGTACCCCCCCCTACCCCACCCCACATGATACGATCGTTCTCTCCACTGTGGCCGATCAACACGACCGTGCACATTTATTTTTCGACACCTTTTCGTAGCTCTCGTCCTCGGCCTGCAGGCCCTCTCTGGCTTGTTCTCGAGCATCATCGGCCTCGTGGCGTCTTGGAATATCGCAGTTAACCGGCAAAATAAAATCCTGCGTAGGGTGGGTCGGGCATGGTTAATACACCCATCCCGCTCCGTGAGTTAAAAAAGCAATGGAATAAAAGATGTCGTTGTCATCTGGAAAGTGTTGCACATTGGTTGGAGTTGGTTGAGTCAAACGGCAACCGGTTTATCGTTCAACACGCGGCTGCTCAAATCTTCATATTCAAGACACGGTCACTGTTGTTGTTGTTGTTGTTGTTGTTGTTGTTTCTCCCGGAACATCCCGCGCTTACTGCGAAGCTCCAGACCACCATTGAGTGAGAAAACTACGTGCACAAAACAAGGAACACAGCTTGCTACCCACCCCAAGCACAATGTCCATACAACCAACATCACTTCAGTGTCTGTATACTGGAAACACACAATCGTCTCGTCTACTATACAAAGAGAATAGCTATCCTTCCCTCATGACATCAACAAGACACGAGTTCGACAGCAGGACTCGGTGAGAATACGTCCAACACAACTCGCCGGGATGATAACTCTCAACCTAGCCCCTAGACGACCAGGGCACCCCGTGAAAACCAATCGCAGCACGAAGGAGAAAGCTCACCCATTTCCCTCATCTAGGACAATGGCACCAAGGTGCTCTTTCTCACATTCTCGTTCCATGCGGCCCCTTTGCTGCTTATGAATACGTCTGCCATGCTGACCAACGTAGGGATCCTCACGCACTCCTCGATGTCTTGCCTTGGGTCCTCTCCCGAACAGTACGGGGTCAATAGCCTTGCTCGGGTGTTGCAATTACCCACGAAAAAAGTCAAGACGCGGATATATATATGGAGCGACAAGTGAGCAAAAGAGTCACGTCGTGCGTCACTGGGTTTTCAGGGAAAGGAACAAAAACAGACGCAACAATCCGGGATCCAGCAGACGTCACTCAACTCATACTGAGTTCAAGACAGGGCCTCTCACAACGAAGTCGAACAGGTTCTGAGTCCTTCTGTGATACTATGTACACGGCCAAGAAAAGCAGGACAAACACGCGCAAAGGTTGCCTTCAAGCAGCAGCGAGTCAATAGACTTGAATACGAATGCGCCAAACGTGAGAAAATCACAACCATACAACACACAACAAAACACTTTTCGTTTGGATCGTACGAAGCAGACAGGGCGGCAAACGCTCCGTCCACGTAGCCCCTGGTTCACAACAACAATGACGAAGTATGGCCAACATCTGCGACCCGATCCGGAAATCAAGAAAAAAACAAGTGCTAGTTGTACACTACGCGCGCCAGCAGTAACCAACTCACTCTGCGGCGGCAGGGTTGCCCTCGCGGACGGCACCAAAAAAATCAGTGGCGACAAGTAGCTCGGCGAACGCCGGCTCCACGTGCTGGGTCGTGGATGTCAAGTTGAATTCGTCGGCCTCGACTATTCGCCTGTTCCAGCACGTTACGGAGAAACCACGAGCAACGCGATGCGCGTATTGTTACGAGGAAGTAGCGATCTTGCACAGAATAACAAGACAGCACGGCTGTGCTGAGACACCCGTGAATTCGTTACTACAACAATGCAAACGGCAACAGCCAACATGCTCCAGCGGGGTAGGAACGCTGTGCAGGGCTGTGCACGAGGAAAAGCAACACTTGGAGTGTAGGCGGACTTGAGCAAATTGAAGCAACAAAAACTGAGAAGTGCTGACTTGCGGCAAGGAAACGAACCCACCACACCCTTTCCACGGGAGGCACTCTCATGCCGGATAAAATGAGTGACGGATTCTTGCCCTGCACTGCCGTGCCGCCCGGCCAAACGCAAAAGCGTTTTTAAACTCGCGCGTACCTCAAGCAAATTGCAAGAACTTACGCGTAATCGAGCAGCGACCTGCATAATCCAAAAGACGTGCAGCTCCTCTCCCCACATTGGTGGATTCGCTAGTTGTACTCGCACCTAGTAATACAAAGGTGTGTTAAATGCGCATCCACATCCGCGACCATGTTCCTTGTTCATCCCATCCCATACTAATCGTTTCGCTCGCAGCAATTACCTCACGTACGGCCGTGGCTCTCAAACGGAAGAGATTCAGTCCGAAGACACACATAAAAACCACTCTGCGGCGCATATAATGTTACAAGAGGGGGGTTCAGCCATGTTTGCTCAAGTGCGCTCACGAACAGGTGACCACGGAAAGGGGAAAAACACACACCTAAGCAGGGAGCTTTGCGAGATGGGGAAGTAGGACTGGAGCGTCTTGACGAAGTCCACGTTCTGGGCAGGCGCCACCGATTCGGGGGCCTGCGCCAGATCGGGCCTGCGGACCACCACGGCTCCCTGGACGTGCGACATCTCCTCTCCTAGGTCTCCCCCCCGATACGTGTGCGTGTGGACCCCCTGCATCATAGATAGTGGAGAGATACACGCACATCACAGAGAGATAGCAAGGGGTGGAGGTAATTCATTAGGGTATGCTGACGAGTAGATACAGGCCGGAGCTTTAGCAAAAGTGGGATTTATAGCGCAGCGGTATGACCAATAACGAAATGGAACAGAAACGAGTGGACAACCGACACCGATACAAAAAATCAAAATGAACGTACAGGTAACGGGACGGCAGACACATGCGAATAATGAAATTATGAGTAACACTCACATCCAAAGACAAGTATGTCTAGGCCCGACACTCACAAGACAGCACGGTGGGCTCGGGCATCGTAGTCGCGACGATTTGTCAAGGGCCTGCTGCAGCCTAGACCACACGGAAAAAGCCCCGACAATCACAGTCGGCGGCTCGGCGTAGTTTCCGTCATCGCTCAGTACCGCAGAGTTGGGGTAATGGGCGGCAACCGGACACGAACCGTCGGCGGGAGCGTGGTAGACCTGTGGCGCTGAACTGTTCTCATCTTCTAGGATATCTGTTGCAAAGGAGAAGTATGGATCCTCCTCGGTTGTTCCTTCCAGTTTTCGTTGCTGCTGTCCCGACCCCTGCTGGTTCCGTGATGATATTGGCGAAATACGCTTCTGCTCAGCCCGCCACCGCTGCTGGCGACGTTGGTGGCTTCCTCGCGAAGATGGATTTCCTTCGCGTCGTAGTCGGCGAGGCACACCTCGCCCTGATGTTCTTGCCGTTGCTGCTGTTGCTTCATCCTCTCTTCCGCCGCTTGGTTCAATGATGGAGGATTTCTCGTCTAGGGCTGCTGGCATTGCCAAGGAGTTCTGAAGAAGCACCACCGTCAGGAACAGGCCCTGCGCCGCGCGTTCGGGCGAAGCATCAACGATGAACGCAAAAACGAGCTAAAGGAAAGCTAAATCGTTCCGGCGTCTGAAGAGTCTTGCTTGGGCAGTGAATACTCGCCAATACACGCTGTAGCACTACTTTTCGATACTTCTTCCACGGTTGGCGTCACGAGCCAAACCTGCTACCGGTATTCCTGAAACTGTTGCGGTGTTGTCGGAATTGCAGTTGCATTTCAACTAGATCAAAGACCAAAAAGATGCGTGGTTCTACAATGCAACAAAATTTCCTTTTTGGTTCGCCCTACCAAGTCGCTCACTACATATCCTCGTGGTATCGATCTGACCTTAACAGCAAAAACCAGGGATCATATTACAACTCTTCCTCCGCGGTTTCAACATACTCTTGGTGTTTCGGGCGTCAGGGTAAGCTCCGGGGCATCGAGAATATGGATGTACGGTTGTTTGATGGACATGATGCCTACCTGCGCCGATCGTGACGCCCATCTCTTAATTGTGGAGCCCGTTCGCCCTGTCTCCTCCATTCGTGCGCCGCGGACCAGGAGGATTTCCTGTCGCCGGGTAGGATGCCGTCGCAAGAGTGCAGAGTGGCAGGCGGACTGAGGAAACAACGACACAAGTACAACATATCAGGAGGTATACGACCGGGGACCGGGGAAAGGGTGGGAATGTGTAGGTTCTACGACACCCGACTCGCTCGTTTTGGTTTGACAGAATCATACGAGTGTCCCACTGCGGGTACAAAAAGTATGTTTCGTTGGCCTCGAGGAGCGGGGGCGTTGCACCACCTCGATATGCACCACTACATTCCAGTTGGCCTGGTATCCTTCCTCTGGATTTTGGTATGGCACCCTTTCTTCGAAGAGCGGTAGGGGAGATGTCCACTAGACACGGGTGATGCATGGCCAGAGGGGCGCATACCCTCGCGTCACAACGCGAAAATGCCATCGCCACACCCACCTTCCGACCGTCCCCTGAGGATACCCTTATCCCAAAGTTTCATAATTTCCACAGAGAGTCAGCTCCCTATGAGTTGGCTGCATATATTCATAAGCAGGTGCTTGCAGGTGTTGTTCCGGTTCGCATCTCACCAGTCTCACGCAATATCAACATGAGAACAAAAGTGCAAAATAACCGACCTGTCGAAAGCAATAGTTCGGTTGAATCTCTCCGGTGAGGCCCAGTATTGACGGGAACAAAAAAAAAATGGAAGCATATATCCTGGCCGGAAACATAATTTGAATCCTTAAGTCCGGCCGGGATCGGGATATTTTTCGGGGCTAACGACACAACACGACACATAGGAAATTGACTCGGGAAGTGATCCCGAGGCCCCACGCTGATTGGCCAACACCGCCGAACATCATTTTCTGGTGGCTCATGCGGAGAATACCGCGACTGGGTTTCTCGAGTCATATCTCGGCATTTGTGTGGCACCGGTCACCGTTTACTGTCGTCGTAAAAATAACTCACACGCAAAGACCATTCGGCTTCCCGGGCAGTGGGCATTTTCGGACCTCCTAACTCTGGAGTAACGTCCTTGTACCGTTGAGCGTCACCCATCCCACCGGTATGCAGTCCATTGTCGTTTACCAACTATGTTTTGCTTCACAGCCAGGAAACAAGAAAAAACTGCAAACGACACACTACCCTGGTCACAGACAACTCAGGTACACAATCAGTTTGCGTGAAATGAGTCAAGCTGACTGGTGGACGCCCATTTTCACCCTGCCAAACGCAAGATGCCCGTACAACACACTGTCGCATCTCCCCCTTGCATATTCTACCCAGACGTTCCATTGCCATTTTTTCACATATTTTCCACGAGTCCCTTCCGCTCCAACCAAAGTCACCCAATTCCCCAAGTACACGGAATTTTCCAGCTCCAAACAAACAATGGGAACCGACAGACGCTCAAACAATTGACGCAGCATTCCAGGTAATAGTGGGTGAGGACATGTGGTGGCAGAGAGGGGGAGGGGAGACACAGGCACATAGTCTATGCATAACCGAACGGATTAACAAAACGGATCAATACTGCTGCATGACGGGCAATTTCAATGGGCAATATGTACTTGGTATATCTTATGCCGTACAGCTGTGGATGCGTGTACGCCGAGTCCGTTCGTCTCTTCACCCCAAACAACGAAAATCAAGGTCTGCTGGAACAATTACTTCTGCTGCTGTAACCCTGTCGTTAAAGGCTACCGCAGTGTCTGTGGGTGCAAGACGCCGTGGATGTTAAGGCAGTACTCCTGCTGTAGTTGTGACACGCGAGGAACGGCGGTGAAGGCATCGTGCCTACTGGAACCACAGCAGTATTGTTGAATTATTCTGCAGTGTCATCAGCCAGCCACCACGTCTCCCGCCCAGAAGGAAAACCAGGGCGAAGCAGGCTGATGATGACTACACTGCAATTGCGACGTTGCGACACACACCTCTCACGGTTATCCCGGTATAATAGACAACAGCACTGGCCTCGAGCATGCAAAAAAACGTACAAGAGAGAAAAACGCCGCGCGACATAGCCTCCAGCAGGTAGCATTACAAGTACCACACAGCAGGGAATAATCTGCTCGAGCACCGCCGACGGCCTGGCGAGGATGATGACCATTATCGTGAAGGTGTTCCGGGAGTTCGGGCTGACGGTGTCGGAGAGGAAGACGGAGACCCTGGTGATGCGGGTGAAGGAGAGACAGCGACCACCGCCGCCGCCACCGCCGGTGCTGACCATCGAAGCAGCGGGGCAAAGGTACGCACAGACGACCGAGTTCCGATACCTGGGCGGCCTCGTCAACGAGCAGGGCGACCTTACCCGAGAGATCAACCACAGGAGCAAAGCAGCGTGGGCGTGCATTAAGCGATACGCCACGGAGCTCTTCGACCGACCGGGAGCACCGTTTCGCCTCAAAGCCCGCCTGCTCCAGGCGGAGGCAGTGGAGGCACTGCTATACGGCTGCATGACATGGTCCCCACGCCGCAACCACTACGGAATGCTGCAGACGACACACCACCGGCTACTCCTGCGAGTCATCGGCTACCGGCGCAAACGAGGCACCTACCGGCAGCTGTCATACGCCCAGGCGCTAAAGAGGGTCGGCTGCCAGAGCGTGGAGGCCACTGTCCGTCAACGGCGCCTGCTCTTTGCGGGGGCCGTGGCAAGACAGCCGGACGGGCGGCTTCCGAAACGGCTGATGTTCGGCGAGTTGGTGGGAGGGGAGGACCCGGGCCAGGGAAACCCGGAGCAGAACTGGCTGACATGCCTGAAGGACGACATGAAGATGTTCGAAGCCAGGTACGGCTCCACGACCGACAAGCCGAGCGTCTTCGGAGTCCCGAAGTTAGTCTGGAGTGAGGCGGCGAAGGTGGAGGGGGGGGTACCGTGGCACGCGGGGGTGCTACAGGGAGCTGAGAGGTTCATGGCCTCTTGGCACAAGGGCAAGGAGGAGGCCAGCCGACAACGAGCCATCAAACGAGGAGACAGCGGGCCCAAAAATAGTCTAGATACGGCACCAATCAACGGGGCGGTAGGGGGGCGGAAGGAAACGGCGCGGCGGGAAGAAAGCAAGCGAGAAGAGACCGACCGCGTGACGTGACATGTTGCGGTCGAATTTCAACGACTAATTTTTCTGTTGCCCTCTCCCCCGTTTGCTGTCGCGTTCAGACTGTCTCTAGGGATATCCCTGTCTCTGTGCGAGTTTGTTTGTGTCCTCGTCTTTGCTTTAATCTGTTTTA